TGTTGCGGCTTTTTAATGTGCTGTGGCTTTTTGATGTGTTGTGGCTTTTTTATGTGTTGTTTCTTTTTAATGTGTTGTGTCTTTTTAATGTGTTGTGGCTTTTTGATGTGTTGTGGCTTTTTTATGTGTTGTTTCTTTTTAATGTGTTGTGGCTTTTTAATGTGTTGTGGCTTTTTGATGTGTTGTGGCTTTTTAATGTGCTGTGGCTTTTTGATGTGTTGTGGCTTTTTTATGTGTTGTTTCTTTTTAATGTGTTGTGGCTTTTTAATGTGTTGTGGCTTTTTAATATGTTGCGGCTTTTTATGTGTTGTGGCTTTTTAATGTGTTGTGGCTTTTTAATGTGTTGTGGCTTTTTGATGTGTTGTGGCTTTTTAATGTGTTGTTTCTTTTTAATGTGTTGTGGCTTTTTAATATGTTGCGGCATTTGCGTTTGTGTTGTGGCGTTTGTATTTGTTGCGGCGTTTGCATTAAAATAGAGTCCCGCAATCATTTCCGTTGTGGCTTTTTTTGGTGTGTTGTTGCATTTGTATTTGTTGCTGCGTTTGCGTTTGTTGCGACCCCTCTCGGCTTCCGTACAATACACCCTCTTTAATGAGTTTGTCGATTTTTCTGACAACCATTTCCTGCAGAACCGTCCGCCTCCTCGGCCTCTCCAGCTCCTCCTCTTCACCGCCTGCGCCGAAACCAAAGCATATCCAGTATTTTCCTTTATAAACCCATCACCTCACGTCTCACGGTTTGTTTTTACCTTTCACAAACCCTCCGCGTCTTCTGTAGTTTGCGTTCCTTCGTCTGTCTGTCCTGGTTGGAGTGTTCGGTGATTGATGGCTATAACCTTTTTGAATCTCAGGACTTAATTAAAGCGCATGTGGCAGGTTTTTATGCTTTTCTTATTATTACTTTGATTGGTGGGAGAATACCCGTGACAGTTTGTGCAAGAAAAAGTTGAAGAATTGCCGGGAGTAGAGCTGTGTTCTAATAAGGGATCGCTTTATTTATGACATTAAAATGCAAGGACGTATTACGCACAAGGAACACATTTTTCTGAAAGTTTAAAGCGGGAGTGCAGTGCATAAATTAACATCTTGGAGCTTTCTACCGTGTTATAACTTCGTTCCCTCATCAGTAACATGCCTGAAGAGGTTGTAGATGTCACCCATGCATGTCTGAGTAATGTAGCGATCTCTCCAAGGCTCTGTTTAAACCCTCCTTACAGTTAGTTCTCTGTAAATATACAAAAACGTGATACAATAAAATACATTACAACTTCAGCAAAAAGTTGGAGTGTTAAAATTAACTCTTATAGAATAAATTTTAACATTTTCTCAGGGTTTATATGCGTCCAATTAGTTTTTATGCAAATGCAAATATCCAAAGCTCCTGTTTAACCCCACGAAATCAAGAGTTATATGAATATTTTGAGAGTAAACAGATAACACTTTGCAGGGTTATCCTGATTTAGCTAAACAACACACAAAGGTATTTTATTTTTACACTTTATTTTAGTTAATTTAAGTTGAAATTATGTACAAAACTGGTTCAAACTGATCTTCTCTTGCGGGAGTTTGAAGTGGGGGGGGGGGAGGAGCCAAATTAACACTAAGGCCCCGTCCACACTAGTTCATATTCAAGTCGTTTTCATTGTGGATGCAGTGTTCGTCCAAACTAATCTGATGGAAAACGGCTCCAGAGATACGTTGATACTAGTTGTGTCCTTACTGGACCATGTCACTGTGACTCTAGCGCAGGCATGTCCAAACTATGGCCAGTGGACCAAATGCGGCCCTCAGACATGTTTTTCTTGGCCCTCAGGCTTCCAGGTGAATTGGCCCAAATGACAGTCCAATGAGATTCATTTGGTCTTCCGATATTCTATGTTATTAGGTTCTTTTTTTCAGACCTAGAGTGTTATTTCATACGTGACAGTTTCGACTGCTCACTAGCGTCTTCCTCAGAGTCACGCGATGTTGCTGTGACGTGGTTTTGGCGCTGTCTTCCTACCGGTGGAGGCAGGACGACAGCGCCATCTGCAGTCCGACTTCCTCAGGACAGCATCCCAGGTGTGTGAGAGTAAAAAAGCCCCCTCGTCCCGGTTTACAGAAACCAACAAAACCTGTTTAAATCAGCTGATCAGACACGTCACATGACCACTCTGAGGAAGACGCTAGTGAGCAGTCTAAACTGTCAGGTATGAAATAACACTCTAGGTCTGAAAAAAAGAACCTAATAACATGGCCCAAATGACCTTGCATCAATTAAAAATTAACTTTTTACTGCAAGTTTTTTTTAAATTCTACCTTGATAAAGCTAATATTTATATTTAGTGTGTGGTTTTAAGCGTGAATAAAGACTGATGGCTCATTCTAACGTGTTAAACATGCACATATTTCAATTATTCACTGTACTGAGCACCAGTCTACGGCCCTCGATCGGCCCTCTGCTTTGTCTGTGTTTAGATTTGTGGCCCTTGATGAAAAAAGTTTGGACACCCCTGCTCTAGCGCCTTCCTGATTCGCTGGGTTTCAAATGGAGGTTTGTAGTCACACACATCTGATTCCCTGTAACAGTTATGGAGTTCGCAAACTTCCGAAACCATTTTTCCGCTGTTAGGACGTCCAACAACCACACAATTACGATGTCCGAATCCCATAACTAAAATATGACAATATCAGAACCAGAAACAAAAGCGATATGGTTCGAAAGATCGGCTTTGACAATAGACGCATCCCACTGGGAAATCAAACATGGCGGTTTGATGCTCACTTTTTCGTAGCATCCTTCCCAGTTTGCATTGCGCGATGACCGGAAGTCCAAAATTCAGGATGCATGTATTGACACTGTTTCTGGATTGATGTTAAAGATGTTCTACAAAAGATGTTGGCTGTTGACCTCTCGTTGGACCCAATGATCTTTTTGCTAGATACATTTCTTGATGGTCTCTCTCATGATCATTGATTTCTGCTGCATTTTCTTCTGATAACCGCAAGAAAAATGATCACGATCTACTGAAACCCGAGACACCGACCGTTGATCAGTGGATATCAAAAATCAAGCTTATAAAATGGAACTGTTTACGGCTCAACTACAGCTAAAAATGTCCAAATAAATTAATAAATAAAATACAAGTAAATATATAAATTATGTGAGGGCTCAGGCTCAGGACACTGTTGATGTGAATTGATTTGTGGCAATAAAAGTAAAAAAAAATAAAAAATCAATTCAGACATATTTAGAATTTTTTTGATTTTTTTTTCTTACACCTTTACTAATAATTAAAGTGTAATGCTCCCCTCATTAATCAAGAGTTTTCAGTCCTCAACTCATGACTATTTATCGATCTTTGCGTCTTGTTTACAGTTAATATTTTACTTGTTACGTCTGCTGCTCATGTCCAACCACGAAATACAATCACGAAGCTGTAACATTTTTAACAAAATCTGAAGTAAAATCCAGAATTAGTTCATTGTAAACAGTTTGCAGTGGTCCAGAGTTATTCCTCACTTACCTTGTGCTTTCAGAGCGTCTTCATTTTTCATGGTGATACTAACCGCAGCGAGCATGTTATGATTAGATGCAGACAGAGCGCACCGAACTCAAGAGCTGCTTATATAAGACCGGGACAAGACTAATTTTGCTCAAATCTCACACTGTACATGTAAATGAACAAAGTTAAGAAAGACAGGAAGTGAGTATGGGCGCACTTCCAGCTCCATCGACTCTGGTTCCAGTTGACTTTACATTTCATTTTGGTCTTAAAATGTTCGTATTGACCCGCTGTACACAACCTGTATTTTTTATTTATTTTTTGTTATTTTGTCCAAATTTTGTTATTTTGTTTAGTGTGATAGCCTGTTATACTTTGCGCTCTCATATATCATTGATCAGAGGAAACTTCGGCCACAGAGGATAGCAGACAGTGGAAAAATGCCCTAACTGAGAGCCATGGTGACTTGATAGTTGTTGAGATTTAGAACATCGAAGAAAAGCGAGAGATGCGCCTGGGTAGATTATCACAACTCTCAAAAAAAAAAAGAAGAAAATATGACATGGTGGAATACCTTTCCATTCCATTCCATTTTCTTCCGCTTATCCGGGGTCGGGTCACGGGTGCAGCAGTCAGAGAAGGGCCTCCCAGACTTCCCTCTCCACACACACTTCCTCCAGCTCCTCTGGGGGGATCCCGAGATGTTCCCAGGCAAGTCGAAAGACATAGTCCCTCCAGTGTGTCCTAGGTCTTCCCCAGGGCCTCCTCCCGGTGGGACATGCCCGGAACACCTCCCAAGGGCAGCGTCCAGGAGGCATCCGGAACAAATGCCCGACCCACCTCAACTGGCTCCTCTCAACGTGGAGGAGCAACGGCTCTACTCCAAGCTCCTCCTGTGTGACTGAGCTCCTCACCCTATCTCTAAGGGAGCGCCCAGCCACCCTGCGAAGGAAACTCATTTCGAGCGCTTGTATCCACGATCTCGTCCTTTCGATCATTACCCAGAGCTCATGACCAGAGGTGAGAGTAGGAACGAAGACTGACCGGTAAATCGAGAGCTTTGCCTTTCGGCTCAGCTCCTCTTCACCACAACGGTCCGATACAGCGACCGCATCACTGCAGACGCTGCACCGATCCACCTGTCAATCTCACGCTCCATCCTCCCCTCACTCGAGAACAAGACCCAGAGATACTTGAACTCCTCCACTTGAGGCAGGGACTCTCCACCCACCTGGAATGGAATGACGTGTCGGAATAGCGATACTAAAAAGTGTCGAAAACCAGCACGTCTAAATAGAGACATGTCGTAATGAAGGGATGTTGGAAAAGGCGGAGAACCCCATATGGAACTTGTCTCCTTGTGAGCTTCATGTGACTGGAGCTAAACGCTACAGGTGGTGACACACTCCCCTTAGTCCACTTCTTTGCACAGTCTATGGTTCAAATGCACGGGGGGGAAAAATCAGATAAAGGCCTTTTCAGTTTGTTTTAAATATTCCGATGTTTGTGTTTCCAGGTGCAGCTGATCCACTACAACCAGGACCTGTACGCCAACTACACGGAAGCAGCCAAGAGCCCCCACGGCATCGCAGTCGTCTCCCTCTTTGTCAAGGTCCAAACCTCTGACTGTTTTTATACACTGTAGACATGCATGCATCATACATACTAGGCAGTCTGTATGAGGCTCTAGTGCAGGAGTGTCAAACTCATTTTGGTCCGGGGGCCGTATCCAACCTACTTTGATCCCAAAGGGGCCGGATCAGAAAACTCATGTCATATAAACCCTAAAAATAACAATAAGTTCAAATATTTCTGCAGAGAAACACAAATCTATTACAGAAATCTTTTTTTAATTGATGAACTCTTTCTTTTACAAAATATTATAATATTGTGAACAACCTGAAACTTTAAGAAAAATACAATTTCAACACAAAGTTTTAACATGAACTTGTATGCAAATAGGAATAAGTCAATTTTTCTTGGAAAATCCTGCACTCAACGTCCACTTTTCTCATTTTTAACATTTTGTTGATGAGGGTGTCACAGTCAACAGTCAAAACAATCGTCCTTTAAGATCGTTTGGAAAGAGACAAGTCTTCATTTGTGCTGCTCTGGTGGGAGGGGCCACGTACAGAGACGCTGGAGACGCTGCTGTGATAAACACCACAGAAAATTAACAAGATTTTAATAGAAAATATAATTAAAATATTTTAGTAGAAAATCAGCCGAGGGCCAGATTAAAGGACTTGGAGGGCCGGATCCAGCCCCCGGGCCTCATGTTTGACACCCCTGCTCTAATGTAATGTCGTTGTTATTTTATATGACAATGACAATAAAGAAATTGAATTAAATTAAAACTGAAATGAACGACTAGCATTAGAGAACTACTGAGCAAAACTAACAGTATTCCATGCTACAGATTGGCTCACATTTGAACAGCACAAATCTTTCTATCTGTGCAAATCTGACATCATGAAATCGATTTTTTAAATTTTAATTGTCGTATCAGTCTGAGTGAACAAGTTACTTATGTTTTATTCATGACCATAACGTAAATTTTTAGAAATAGAAATGGAATAGAAAACCATTATCTTGAAGTTCCACAAACTTATAGCTCGGCGCTTCCAGACGTTGTAAAAAAGGTCTATAGGTGCGCCTCTCCGCAGATCTGAACTGTAACGTTGCCTAGTGCTGTAACCTGCTGATCTTCCTCGCGATAGACGGGTGTGATTTATACCGTGGAACATTCTAGACCAAGCAACAGCATTTTTCCGCTCCACTAGAAACGTTACGCAGTGCACCTTTAAAGCTTGTGATGTTATTTTTTGAAAACGAACAATTCAAAGCGGTAAATTTATGCAAATATTTAGTTTTTGCTAAGAGCATTTGGCATTGTTTCTCTTCAAATGACTCTTTCTCTCGCCTAATTAATAGACTAATCTGAATACACAATCTTAATGCAGTTTTGAAACATTATTATGAGACGTTGGTTAAATCATGGCCAAATAAACTAAATCAATTCAAAAATAATTTTGTAGTTTAATTAATGTAACGCAATTTACCGCTAGAAATTCTGAATAATTTGAACATCCTGTTGTTCTGAAACTTGAGTAAAGTGAAGGGCACTGAGTTGTGAGTTGGGAATTCTCCACCACGGCTCCTGCCCGTTTGGAGTTGGATGGTGCAGGATGGAATGAAGGAAGGCTAAAGGGGGAGCGAGGGAGGAGAGGTGTGAAGGACTAAAGGGTGAGGAGGGTCTGGAGAACGAAAGGGGAGAGTGAGGACGAGGTGGGGCGAGATCTTGAAGACTAAACGGGAGAGTGAGGGGGTTGAAGGGGTGAGATCTGGTGTATTAAAGGGGAGTGAGAAGGGGGGAGATCAGGAGGACTAAAGGAGAGAGTGGGGGGGTCTGGAGGACTGAAGGGGGGAGTGAGGGGGGATGAAGGGGTGGGGTCTGGAGGACTAAAGGGAAAAGTGAGGGGGGAGTAGAGGTGAGATCTTGAGGATTAAAGGGAAGAGTGAGGGGGGAAGGAGGGTGGAGTCTGGAGGACTAAAGGGAAGAGTGGGGGGTTAGAGGTGAGATCTAAAGGACTAAAGGGGAGAGTGAGGGGGGTCTGGAGGACTAAAGAGGAGAGAGACGGGGCGGTCTGGAGAGCTAAAAGGCAGAGTGAGGGGGATGGAGGGGTGGGGTCTGTAGGACTAAAGGGGAAAGTGAGGGGGGAGTAGAGGTGAGATCTTGAGGATTAAAGGGAAAAGTGAGGGGGGAAGGAGGGGTGGAGTCTGGAGGACTAAAGGGGAGAGTGAGGGGGGTCTGGAGGACTAAAGGGGAGAGAGAGGGGGCGGTCTAAAGGGCTAAAGGGCAGAGTGAGAGGGGGTGGAGGGGCGGGGTCTGGAGGACTAAAGGGAAAAGTCAGGGGGAGTAGAGGTGAGATCTTGATGATTAAAGGGAAGAGTGAGGGCGGATGGAGTCTGGAGGACTAAAGGGAAGAGTGAGGATGGACAAGGTCTGGAGGACTAAAGGGGAGAGTGAGGGGGGATTATAGTTGAGATCTGGAGGACTGAAGGGGAGAGTGAGGGGGATGGAGGGGTGGAGTCTGGAGGACTACAGGGGAAAGTTAATTAATTAATGAGTTAATAGCCGTAGCTGCCCTGGAGCAGACTGACGGAATCAAGGCTGCCAATCTGCACCATCTGCCCCTCCAACCACCACCAACACTTACGCACACTCCACTTTCATACGAGGCAATGTGGCTGAAGTGTCTTGCATGATGGGGAAGGGTTTTTAAAATAATAATTTCTGTCAGTTTCGGTGTTTTCTTTCCTGTCCATCTATTCCTGGTCTGTCTCACCAATAGAAGTGGGCGATATTGACTAAAACGAATATTATACTATATTTCTAGAACCATATTTTTCAGACAATATTTTAACAAAGCTTCAGGACTGTGGTCAAATGTGCCTGTAAATTGGCTCGTGTTCAAGTAGCCTGTCGTACAAAATGTGAATGGACCATCAAATTAACCACAAAAGGTCAGAGACGTTACTTTATAGTTTCCGAGATTATACTTTACATTTTAGAGTCTTTTAGATCATTTTTAATACTTTTAATTATACATGATATACTTCTTATTCAAATTTTGCACATCTCCAGAACAGTTATTGCAATATTATCCACTGTTCCGTCTCTATCTCCGTCTTTCCGTCTCGCACTTGGCAGCTCTACAACACACACTGATGCAGATTTGACGGGGCTTTTCTTCTGTTTGTGCTGCAGCTGTCGGAGAACTCCAACACGTTCCTGAATCGCATGCTCAACAGGGACACCATCACCAGGATCAACTACAAACGTGAGCCTCACACACACACACACACACACGTACAGTACTCTCGATTTACGCTCGTTTCTTTATTTTATTATGCATAAATTCATAAATAAAATATACCGAGAAACAAGAATCTCCTTCTGAAGAAATCATTAATATTGGAAGGTAATGAAGAGTTGAATACGTTTTGATGTGTACACCTCGGCATGTACGAGCAAGTTGTGTCGGTGTGAAGGCGTTCCACCGTAGCAGCAGAAACGATACGCCTCTTCAGACTCTCCATCTCTTCTTCTTTCTCACTGCTGGGAGATTCATTAAAGCGTATTATAATTTTTGGTTCATGAAAGCAGGAAGTGAGTGGCTGATATTGAAATGAAATTAACCATTTACTAAATATGTTACTTGAACGTGTAAAACATTTTAGATAAAGAAATATAATGAAATGCACTTTACACAATGTTTTTTTTTTTATATTATATTTTAAAGTAAGTCAGACCTGTTCCCGGTGCATGTTGGACTCCGCCAGGGCTGCCCTTTGTTACCGGTTCTGTTTATTGTATTTATGGACAGAATTTCTTGGTCAGGAGCCGAAGGAGGTCCAGTTTGGGGACTATAGATTATGTGTCCTGAGAGAAAATTGATGTATGGATTTTGAAGTATATTTTACACTTAAATATACTTTTTTGAGCTTTTAACCGTGTCATACTAGCCTGATTCATCAGCCAGTTTCACTTTGTAGAAACCGTCTGACCTTGCAGTATTAGGATTTGTTTGCTCGACGGTAGGCGGGTACTTTTTTTATTTAACCAGTCGCTGATATTTGGTCGTGATGTATGTAATGTAACGTAACGGGGCTAACTGGTATATTAAGCTTTTCCCAAATCCCATAGGAAGAAGGGCAATAACGTCTTTCCCCTTGATACAATTCACCAAACATTGTCTTTATTCCAGCTTTAAATCATTGATCTCGAGAATTGTTGCCAACACAGAATGTTTGGGTTTTTTTTGCGAAACGTCTAGTGTATTCTGATTCCTGACCTAGTCGCTGGAGAGAAATGAAATTGAGTGGAGGCACTAGGTGGTGTGAGCCTGGCTAGTAGGGCGCTCCCTTAGAGATAGGGTGAGGAGCTCAGTCACACAGGAGGAGCTCGGAGTATAGCCGCTGCTCCTCCACGTCGAGAGGAGCAGCTAAAGTGGCTCAGGCATCTGTTCTGATGCCTCCTGGACGCCTCCCTCGGGAGGTGTTCCGGACATGTCCCACCGTAACGAGGCCCTGGGGAAAACCCAGGAGGGACTATATCTCTAGACTGGTCTGGGAACGACTCAGGATCCCCATGGAGGAGCTGAAGGAAGTGTCTGGGATGAAGGAAGTCTTGGAGTCTCTGCTTAGGCTGCGTTCAGACTGCAGCCTGAAGTGACCCAAATCCGATTTTTTGGCTTCTATGTGACCTGTATCCGATCTTTTAATGACAGTCTGAACGGCACAGATCCGATTTTTTCAAATGTGACCCAGGACACTTGGATATGTGCTCCTGAAACCGATACATATCTGATCTTTTGACATGCGACTTCAGTCTGAACGGCCAAAGCGCATCCATCCGACCTACACGTCATTAACAAGCGACAAACTTCACTATTCTGTGCTGAAGCAGGCGGAAACCGGAACTGTAAAATCTCCAGGTGCTCAATGCTCGCGACCATATTTGGACAACTTCCGTAAACACACACACGCTCGCTGCGGTTGACGCATGGGGTTGACGTCGTCGTGTCTCCAGTGCACATGCGGGACACTTTCGGGCCGTTTACCGTTCACACTGAAGTCACAGACAAGTCGCATTTAATTGGAAATGTGAACGACCTCGCAAAAACATCGGATTTCACAAAAAAATCTGAATTGAGCGTTAAGCCCTGCAGTCTGAACGTAGCCTTAGACTGATGCCCCTGCGACCCGACCCTGAATAAGCAGAAGAAAATGGATGGATAAATATTTAGTTGAAAGTATAAAACATTTTTATTTTAGATAAAGAAATATAAAGAAATGCACTTTATACAATGTTTTATTTTTAATATTATATTTTAAAATATATTTTACAGTTAAATGTACTTTTTTTTTTAGCTTTTAAATGCATCATACTCATCAACTACATGCCTATATTTAGTATTTTGCTTCAGTCTTGCTTGTTTCATGAGTCCATTCATCCGAAGTCGTCTTCTCTGAGCGCTCAAAAAAGCTCCATTTGCATTTTTCATGGATTGTTACATCACAGGTAAAAATCTGAACTTCTCCTGCACAGTTTTGAAGCCCATAAACCATCTCTAAGTTTGTTTTGTGGACAAAGTGTGGCTCTATTAGCTCAGCATTCACGGGGCCTAATGGATTCATTTGTTTCTTCTGTCAGTGTTGCTCACAGCACAGGGAGCTCTTACAAATTACCTTCTCCACGGTGTCCTGAAGCATGTTTAAAACAGAATTAAAGCCACAAGAATGTATAATACGTGTTTTTTTAAGTAACATACAATAAATAACATAAGTGTTTGTGTGCAGATGATGCGTTCTTACTGATGGGTCTGAACATCGCGGAGCTGTACCCGGACACCACCCGCTACATCACCTACGAGGGCTCCATCACCGTCCCCCCCTGCTACGAGACGGCCACCTGGATCCTCATCAACAAGCCCATCTACGTCACACAGATGCAGGTACGAGACTACAGCACTGCATGACGTAACGCGAATGACGTCACCTCTGGTCCATTTGAAGCGTTCACTGACAGTATATTATTTTGCCTTTAGTTCTGATGCCAATTATACGATCTAATTAATGATGCTCTATGGATAAGGTGAACAAATTTTACCCGGGACAGTCCCAGTTTTGAGTCCTGTGTCCCCTGTCCCAGCAGATTTATACAAAACCACTGATTTGTCCCAGCCTGATTCGTTTGCTCAATGGTAGGTGCGTACTTTTTTATTTAACCAATCGCTGCTATTTGCAGTGTTGGGAAGGTGACTTTTAAAATGTATTCCCCTACAGATTACAGATTACACACCCCAAAATGTAGTTTGTAACGTAATCCATTAAATTACTTAAAGTGAGTAATGTAATCTGAATACTTTGGATTACTTGATATTGTCGTGCTTTTTAAAATGACATGAATGTACCAACCACATCCTGAAAATTCTTGTTTGTTCTCTTCAAATTGTCTGTTGAGCCTAAATCTCCATGAATAAGCAACTGTTTACTGTAAAGAAGCAAAGACGAGGATCTTAACATAAGATGTTTTGTTTTATCTGCTAAAAGACAGTAACAAGCTCAGTCTTTACTTAAACATATTCAAAAAAATATTATTGATAGAGAAATTATTTCTATATGAGATCACTGCTGCCTTAAATTATGTCCACCTACTGTTAGTGTCATATTGTTTAGACCTGGTTTAGACCTGGTTTTAGTCCTAGTTTAGTCTTAGTTTAATCCTGCTTTAGTCCTGCTATAGTTCTGCTTTTAGACCTGGTTTAGTCCTGGTTTAGCCCAAAATGTGAAAACAGGAAAATACCTCCATGTAATCCATTTATTTCAACAAAGTAACTGTAATCCAATTACCACTCACTGAAACAGTAACTGTAACTGAATACAGTTACTCATAATTTGTACTCTGATTACGTAATCCCGGTACATGTAATCTGTTACTCCCCGACACTGGCTATTTGGTTGTGACGTATGTAATGCGCCAAATCCCGTAGGAAGAAGGGCAACAACGTCTTTGATAAAAATTCACCAAACATTCTCTTTGTTCCTGCTTTAAATCCTTGATCTCGGGAATCGTTGCCAACACAGAACGGATGGTAGAGCCCTGCACTCCCTGCAAACTAAATATGAGTGTAAAGTAAAATATACAAATGAATAATGTTGGATAATTTGTGCTGGATATTTTATTTGGCCTTAATAAAAAACATTTTAAGCAGCCTAAACTTGCACATGTGGTCTAATCTCGCGCACACTTTCAGCTTCTTCGTGTTTAATAGAGCTCAAGAAAGCGAATGTCCCCATCTTGCGGGATTTGCAGGCAGGAGTAGGACTGAAAATTACAATTCATTGCGGGAGCGGGACTGAAAATTCGATCTCACACAGACCTCTAAAGTATGTTTTCGTCTACATCCATCTCAAGGCTTTGTTTACTGTTGTGCTGTTCCACAAAAGGGACACAGACAGACGCTTGAGTTTGACGTCAGGGCTTCACTGCTCTTCACTGATTGGCCGGTGTGCAGGCTACAACTTCCAGGGTTCTTGCAAAACGTCTAGTGCAGGGGTGTCAAACTCATTTTGGTCCTGGGGCCGTATTCAACCTACTTTGATCCCAAAGGGGCCGGATCAGAAAACTCATGTATATATATAAACCCCAAAAATAACAATAAGTTCAAATATTTGTGTAGAGAAACACAAATCTATTACAGAAATCTTTTTTAATTGATGAACTCTTTCTTTTACAAAATATTATAATATTATGAACAACCTGAAACTTTAAGAAAAATGTAATTTCAACACAAAGTTTTAAAATGAAATTGTTTGCAAATAGGAATAAGTCAATTTTTCTTGTAAAATCCTGCACTCGGCTCCACTTTTCTCATGTTGGACATTTTTCTGATGAGGGTGTCACGGTCAACAGTCAAAACGATCGTCCTTTAAGAGCGTTTGGAAAGAGACAAGTCTTCATTTGTGCTGCTCTGGTCTGGTGGGGCCACGTACAGAGACGCTGGAGACGCTGCTGTGATAAACACCACAGAAAATTAACAAGATTTTAATAAGAAAATATAATTAAAATATTTTAGTAGAAAATCAGCCAAGGGCCAGATTAAAGGTCTTGGAGGGCCGGATCCTGCCCACGGGCCATATGTTTGACACCCCTGGTCTACATCCATCTCGACGCTTTGTTTACTGTTGTGCTGTTCCACAAAGGACACAGACAAACGCTTGAGTTTGACGTCATGGCTTCACAGCTCTTCACTGACTGACCAGTGTGTGGTCTACAACTTCCAGGGTTTTTGCAAACCGTCTAGTACATTCTGATTCCTGACCTAGTCGCTGGAGAGAAATAAAATTGAGCGGAGGCAATAGATTTGTCCAAGTTTTATACAAGAAATGTTCCACGTGTCCCTACACTGAAAACCCAAAAATTCAAACTAATTAAATAGATTAAGTTGTGCATACTCAAAGTTTTAGAAATAGTCCTACTAACTTAATTATGTCAAATATGCTCTTCTTTTTGAGTAATTTTAACTTATTATTTATTTATTTATTTTTTATTAAAGGGATGGGAAGAGATCTTAATTCTAAGTTTGTAGCTCATCTATGTTTTTGAATTAAGTAATTAAACGCTGGGAATGATAAAGTCCTGTTATTTCTATTGTTTCAAATAGAAATGATTTTAAAATAAACTTAATTTATATAGTACATGCTAAAATACCATACAATTTCAAAGCGCTTCACCAAATAAATACTAAAATAAATTGCATTCACACAACAGAATAATTTGATTGAGGCAAACGACAAAAGGTCTGAAATATATATATATATATAAAATTATGAGCCGTATTAACTGTAAATATGTGACTTTTAAGTTCATCTACTTAAAATAATTAAGGCAATCGATTGATTCAATTATTTTAAGTTCTGGTAACTTATTTGGGTTTACAGTGTATTTTTGACCAATTTGATCTAAACCAGGTCTAAACCGGGACTAAATTTAAGATTAAATTTAAGACTACATCAGGTCTAAAACAGAACTATCACACTTATTGATTAATCTGATCCTCACCAACAGTAAAGAGGAGCATAAATTCTCATTTGTTTTGCCCAAAATACAGAAATCCGTGTTTGAGAATGACCATAAACCAAAAAATAAATAAAAAATGCAGCGACAGAAGCTCCTCAGATAATGACACAATGTTCCTCGCTCTTTTCACGATTTTATTTCTACCAACCGTGAAAATCTGGTCCCCCTTTCTATGGAACTTATCTGTTTCCACGGCGACACGCGGACGAGATCACCCGGCCGCGTTACAGGTCCGTTCTGCGTCGAGGCGAACCTGCTCAGAATAAGAAAGCGTGTTTTTTTTAAATGAGTTTGCAACCTGCTTTACAGTCTCTCTGCGCCGTTTGGACTTTTACTACCGGTTAGTCAGAGCAACCGCGACTGCAGCTTTATTTGGGCCGAAGCCAGCGGCAAAGCGCATAAACAAACCAAAACAAACATGGCCACGCCTGCACGCACAAACGGTCCCATTTGAATATCTTGGAAGTACGTGCAGAGGGAAGTGTTTCGTGGACAGTGCTTTTCTCTCAACTGGGTTTAATAAAAGTTTCTCTGCTGAAACTTCACCTCAATCAACTTGGAGTAATTGCCTTTTTCCCGATCACACGAGAGCGGCCCGAAGATTGATAATGTCTAAAACTCTATTCAGAGCGCCGCACTTATCAATCTGACTTCTGCCAGGTGAGGGGGATATATTACCGAGCAGAAAAGCGACACAGTGCGCCTTTAGTCCAGGGGTAAAAGACTGTTGGTGCGTATTTTCTTCTGGGTGGTGCTGCGAGTTTATTCTCAGCTGTGGCAATCCCATAAGACTTTGCCAAAAATATGAATGCGTGTATTCATTACATCGCCGCCGTTGTATTAGAAGTGTGTAAGTGGCTTGTCCTTATCAAACAAAAGCGAGTCTTTTCCACAGCGGGTGAGCGGTGAGCCGTGACACAACAGAGAGGCGCGGGATTAAACATGAGCCCGCCGCCGTACACCAGCCCCTCCGCGTGTTCACGAGACGGATACAATGACCTACAAGCGCTCGCGATCACTTTCTCCGGGATTTGCGGAGGGATTCGGCTGAACGCGAGAGCTCTGTTTGAGTCGGGCGTTTAGTTGGGAAGGACAGAAAGCGGCTTCTCTGTGGATAAACATTTCAGTCGTGAAGGACGAATGCGATTGGCTGAACTCAGATCTCAACAAGTAAAGTTATAAGTGTGAGAGGAGAGTGATGGATGAATGAAAATATCTGGAATACGACACTGAACTTCCTTCGCGTTTACATTTATTTAAAAGCAGGTGTTTTAATTAGCGCCATGGGTGGAGTAGGGCCTGTTGTTATTGTTCAGCAGTGCGAAGCTTTTTGTTCACCCCAAAGCGTAGGGTGCACTTGACATCGTGCACTTCGTGTATTTTCCGCACTATTAGTCGCTCTGGATTATAAGGCGCACTGTCATTAAATGGTCTGTTTTCGAACTTTTTTCACAAATAAACCTCACTGGACTTTAAAGGTTGTATAGAGGATTTTCCAAGGAACGAGAAATCCAGCGACTGTTTGTCCTTTTTCAAATGTTGCGCATGCGTGAAACCACCCCCCCTCCCCTACAGCTCCTACGTAGAAACACCTCCTCCCTCCCCCTCCTTACACCAGAAAGTACTCATCGCTGCACATGACTTGTAAACAACTAACTACAGTGTTGGTTAGGCAAGGTGGAGAAGTGGGGAGGGGGTGCGCGGAGATTTTGGGCGCGGAAAGAAGTGATGAGCAGGGAGAAGAGCGGATCGGGCAGCGAGGAGAGGAGCAGGAAAGGGGTGCAGAGAAGAGTGCGCGGAGATTCCGTGCGAATGAAGCTACTACTACAACACGCAGCAGCAAGCGGACTCTTTCTTTGCATTGAAAATTAC